AATTCTCCAAGCACATACATTTTCTGCTTGTGCTTGAATAAATGAATGGATGGATGGATGGATGGATGACAAAAGATTGGCTAGAGTTAGGCGTTTTAGTCCTAATGAGGCCATTAACTAGTTGTATGACATTGGACAAGCCTTTCAATCTCTCTAGGCCTTTGTTTCCTCATCTCTACAAAGGCGGGGCTGGTGGGTGCTTGGACTGTATCAGATTTTCCTGCATTATGATCACTGGGAAATTGTTTGAGATCCTGATCCCAATCCCTTCTCTAAACATGTTGTCTCAGTAGGTCTTGGGTTAGGCCTGGGAATCTATATTTTTATAAAAAGTGCCTTAGCTGCTTTTTACAGTCTGTTAAGCCTAGAGATCCCTACTTACAGTGTTCTCTGAGGTCGCTTCTAACTATGATGCCATAAAATTTACCTACCATGGAATGTGCAGTTACAAACCCACTACCTAAAAATGAGGTACCTACTGAACAAAATGCTTATCTAACCAGTGAAGTCGATAAAGGTCTTACAAAGGGGATAATTTTTTCTCTTCTCTACTGAAAAGTTATATTTTGGAGCCCTAGAAAAGATTGATTTTTCCGCGATCATCTTTGGTAACTTGTGTCTTGATTTCTAGTGCACATAGCAGCTGTTTTTCTTTCTTAGTTGATGATCTGAAAGCTGACTATACTGAAAATCCCACTAATCAATATGTATATCTATTTTTTTAAAAGAAACTGAAGGAGATTGCATTCCCAAGGACAGATGAATTGAAAAAGGACATTTTAAAGAAATATAACGTAGAATACCAAGAATATTTGCAAAGCGAAGTAAGTTCAGTTGGTACATTTATTGCATGACTGTTTTCTGTGCAAATATTTTTTGAATTTCATTTTAACGAGTTTTTCAAATGTCGTATGCATTCAAATTAAAAATTAAAAATACAGTGATGTAAAACCCATAAAAAATTCATGTTGATATCCTGGTTAAGCACTTGCACCAAGGATGGTGGTATTTTTATTTCCTGTCGACATCTAATAAAGTGAAGCATTAGAAAATAGACTTCTTACAGTGATTTAAGCAGAGCTTTTTGACCAACTCTTGTCAATGTAATCTTGAGCCAGATGGCTGCTCTTTAGCAATGAAAGGAGACAGTAAGAGAGGTAGGGAGAACAGTATATGGTTTCTGATGTGTCTAATTATGTATGCCTTGGAAATGTGAATTTGATTCTTAAATATTGTAATCAGTATAACATCCAGATGGAATAATGGCTAATCATATGAGTGAAATGTAATCATATCACCAAGGGGTGATGGCTCCTGCATTCTTATTAAATAGAGACTGAAAATGAAAATGATGTCTGAGACTGAAGGGCATTGAAAGAAGAATCTGACCAGTCAGTCTATAAGATACTCCAGTTCAGCACTTGAACTCTCAATGTTCACAGCATAATGATAAAGGTTGTTTTGCTTTTTTGTTTGGCTATGTGTTTATGTGCTTTGGAAGTTGTTACTTTGACTGACTCTCAGTTCAGTCCAATCTTGTCACCTCGGAGTGTGGTCACAGGCCTTCTCTGCTTCCTTTGGTATAGCTAGAAGGCAGGTTTGAGTGAGCTGTTTGCACTGAGTGACAGAAGGAATGCTGAAATGAGAAGATTTTCTCCAGTGTGGATACTGGTGATTTGATTTGAACTATAAAAGATAAAAGTGATTTTGGCGGCTTGGACAGAACAGCAGGAAGGGATTTAACTTAACAGCCCAGTTAAGCTCCCTTCCCTACTCAGCAGTGTGCATGCTGGTCCTCTCAGGAGCGCTCTGGGAGGAGCGGCCTCGGCAGTTGTTACCTGGTCTGCCTTTGGTGACACCAGTTACTTCCTAGTCCACAGTAGGATCCCAAGTATATGACATGTAGAAATCTTTGGGGGATAGAATGGCAGGCTTTACGCCTTGGAGAGATGAACAGACACACGGATAAGCCTTTGCTACAGGCAACACTCACATCACCTGGGAGCCTGTTGGAATGCAGATTCTCAGGCCCCACCCCAGACCTGCTGAAGGCCAGTCTGCTCTATAACAAGACCCAGAGCGCATATCAAAGTGTCAGCTGATATGCTGTAAGCTTACACTGCTGTAAGCTCTGTCCCCCACCCCACCCCTGCCTTATAGTAGCTCCCAAAGTCTAGTTTTCATCAAAATTATTTGGGAAGCTTGTTAAATATTTATTCTTTGACCTAATAATGCCTGGATATTTTTGTTAAGACTGGGGAGCTTGGGAATCTTCATTTTTAACAAAACTCCTAGTAGTTCGTTTTGATAGAGTTGATTGGACCACATTCTGAGAACCATTTGTTAGTGATTCTCCCTTCTCCATAAAGTTCCAGCGGTATGAATTATAAAGTCAAATGCAAAAGGTTCTAGGGTGGCACTGTCCCATAGAGCTTTGTACGATGACGGAAATGCTCTATTTGGCACTCTCTGATATGGGAGGCACTAGCCCGTGGTATTTCACGTGTGGCTAGTGAGAACTGAGGAGTTGAATTTCTAATTTCATTTCATTTCAATTAAACTTAGGTAGTCACATGTAGCTAGTGGCTACTGTATTGGACAGTGCAGTCCAGGGTGATGTAACTATTTCTGAGGTATGGTCTGATCAGTCAGGCTGTGCAGACAATCCTGACTTTGATTACTAATATTTAAAAGCACAGGAGGGTGGAGGGAACTTGGTTGTCCTGGCCCGTCTCTGGTAAAATATGAGTGGATTTAGAACTGCTCCCGTAATCAGATTAAGGGGCTTTTGCCACGATGTTATATATTTTCCTGGCAGTCTCAGGAGTGTCCCTGTGGGCATATCACAGTATCTAGCTATGTCTCTCCGTCTGCTAGAAGATTGAAACTGTCTAATCCCAGTTTGATGCTTTTGCCTTGGAAACTAACCTTTTCTTCTGGCAACCACGTTTTTTTAGAACAAATATAAAGCTGAAATTCTCAAAAAACTGGAGCATCAGAGATTGATAGAGGCAGAAAGGAAGCGGATCGCTCAGATGCGCCAGCAGCAGCTAGAATCGGAGCAGTTCTTGTTTTTCGAAGATCAGCTCAAGAAGCAAGAATTAGCCCGGAGTCAGATGCGAAGCCAGGAAACGCCAGCACAGTCAGAGCAGGTTGATGGGAGTGCTTTGTCCTGCTTTTCCACACACCAGAACAATTCCTTGCTGAATGTATTTGCAGATCAGCCTAACAAAAGTGATGCAACCAATTACGCTGGCCACTCGCCTCCCGTAAACAGGGCCTTAAAGCCAGCTGCAACTCTAAGTGCTGTTCAGAGTAAGTGAGGAAATGCACCCCACAAGACATGGAATCTCCTCTAATGGAACCATATTTCTGTGACATCTGGGAGGGGTCCCCTCATTTTATTGTTAGTTGTGGTAGTTCCCCTACATGATGTGGTGTGAATGACAATATCACCTGACTTTTGCTATATGTAACCTCAGAATTCAGGAAACGTGATTTACTCCCTGGTAGAACAGAGGCTCCATAATAAACAGCACTGTATTTGATCGTGGTACAGAGATCTTAAGAGAGAAAAATTCCGAGCATTTTTTTTTTTCCTTTCACGTATTTTGACCAAGAAGCACTGAATCCTAAAGCTAAACACACTGGAGAGGAAAGAAGATGCTGGAAAACTTGTTTGTTCAGAACCTTGTTCAGTCATTAAATTCAATTATTTAGCATTTCCCTGGCCTAGGAGGATCTGTACACATGGGTGTTAACCTCCAAAGGGGTTATGTGTTTCTGCCAAAAAATTAGTGCTGCCTGGACTGCTACATCAGTGCTGGCAGCTTTCCAAAACCAAATGGGAAAATTTCCCAGCAGACACTGTTAAGTGGAATTTATATTTCCATTTATTTTGAAAGAGTTATGGTAAGCAACCATTTTATAAATTACTCTACTGCCAATTATTTCAAAAAACATGGTGCTTTTACCTGATGATCACCAAATTTCATAAGATATAAGTAACACATGGCAAACACAAAAAAAGATTTATCCTTCCACTTATAGAATATGACATGTATTCTATGCAGCCTATGCACTTTGTGCCAAAAGAAAACACACACATACATGTAAATAGTTGATGTAAGGCACAAAGATGTAAAAGTGCTTGCACCTTCCCACTTGTATATAAATAATTTATATGCAAGGGGTAATTTTACCTTCCTTCCAGTCAATGTTCACTTTTACAAGTTTTAAAATGAAATACAGAAAGTGGAGCACCTGATTATTTCATTTTTGAAATTTATATTTACCTGCAGTCACTTGCTAAAAACAGTTTTGAAGGATGGGATGTAAGGTTTGTTCTTTTTGTTTTTTCTCCCTTTTCTGTTTCTTAGATTTAGTGGCTGAAGGACTGAGATACGTCGTTTTATCAAGAGATCTTTGCCACAGATTTCTGCTCCTGGCAGAATCTAATACAGTGAGAGGAATAGAAACCTGTGGAATACTCTGTGGGAAACTGGTATGGTGTTTGTTTCATATCTTCCCTGCACAGGATACTTTCAGTAGAGCTGGCTTTCTTGTGATAAGCTGAGCGGAACAAGAGCATCCTAAGTTTCGTAAACATTATGAAATTAACTTAATATAGATTAATTTCATAAAACTACTGTCATCATTAATGGAATTATCATTCTAGAAAATGGATTGTAAAATTTCAGAGATACTATGAAAGTTTATTGTAAAGAACTAACTAATCAAACCATAAGTTAAATCTTTGTTTAGAAAAAGGGTGGCTTTCAGATTTCCAGATTTCCAGAACCATCTAGTTTTCTGAATCAAATTTCCGTTGCAATTGTTAGTTTCACATATATTCCTATGATTAACTCAACCTGCTTTTGTCTGTGGTAGGTATAATCTCGCCACCCTTTTTCAGATACTTGCAGAATAAAGCTAGGGTTTTGTTGTTTTCTTTAAGGCAGTAGTTTCAACAAACTGCAATCTTATAGCACAGGTCATATTTAAGTATGGAAGATTTTATCAGAAATAAGTGATGAAAGACAATATCAAACTAGAAGCAGATAAAAGAGAAAAGACACATTTAATTTCCTACTTCAAGAAAGAGGAACAATGTTTCTTTGGAAGTGCCTTTGTACCCTCTGTGGGGTATCAGTTTATGTTTCTAAGTCCAGACACATTTTCATCCCTAAACATTTACTTGGAAACTGTTATTTAACTGAATAGGATGTTTCATTCAACACACATTCTCCTACTGTATTCCAGTGTTGCATCATCACGTTTCCCGCAGGGCAGAAGAAACACAGGAGACAAGCAAAGGAGAGTGACCTCCCCACAGCCACCTTCTTTGCCCTGCAGGGGGCAGTATGCTATGGATGCTTCTTCCCCAAGACCACATTTTGTACCTAGTTTGATTCACTCATTCATTGATTCATTCTTCATTCATTCCTTCATCAGACAGGCATTCAGTCACCTACAACAGCCTCAGTCTTTGCCGTGTGATGCTTATAAAGAACCAGAGAGATGATTAATTATAAATGGAGCTGGGTACTCTCAGTGGAAGTGCAGGGTATCATGGGAAGGTGTAACTGGGAAACCTTGCCTGGGAGGGTCAAGAAGGGGTTCCTTGAAAGCCGATGTTTATACTACATACGTTTAGAATACATAAAGTTAGCCATGAAAGGAGGGGCTGGGATGGAGAGAAGTGTTGTAATCAAGGCCAAAGGAATAGGGCCCAGTTTGCAGAAGTGCCCTAAGACTAGAGACAAGATGGCACTGTGCAAGGATGGACAGCTCCTCAGCACACAAACTTCTTTTTTCTGAGGATCCTATCACTACTTTACAACCCTCTTCCTTTCAACTCTTATCTTTTACCTAAGAGGGGCAATTTGTTTTTCCTTTCTCTTTATCTAATTGCCAATCCAAAACATTACCTTAATTATGGAAAATCCCAGTGAATTCCACGCCCCCAACTCCCCTCCCCATAGTAGAAGAAAGTCGTAAATCTTCACACGAAATTAAATAACAATTAATAAACTGAAAACAAGACCATCAACCTTCACAAACCTTAGAAATGTCCTTCAATAAAACCACAAAATTATTTAATTAGCATGTCCCCACCAAATAAACCTGCTGCTGTTTTGTTCTGATTTTTTCCGTTGCAGATGTAATATAACACACCATTATTTACTAGCTAAACTTCCAGGGACCAGCCCAGGATGCTAATTCCTATTTATGATACATTTTATATTGTGAAAATGGGTTTCAGGCTCCAAACAACTGACTCTTAAATTTTGGGCAGATGATCCGTGTTCAAGTACAGGGCTTTGTTTTTGAATTGTGATGGGTCAGGGTGGGAGGATGATGATGATGTAAGTGGTGGGCACTTTCTAGTCTTGTTAAAACATTATACTTCCTACTCAGGCCTTTTTTTTTTTCTGTCAGATGCTTCTTATTCTCTTTGCTCTTTGTTTTTCAGACGCATAATGAATTTACTATTACCCACTTAATCGTGCCCAAACAGTCTGCGGGACCAGACTATTGCGACGTGGAGAATGTAGCAGAATTATTCGGTGTTCAGGATCAACACGATCTCCTCACTCTGGGATGGATCCATGTATGTTTCACATTTTGGGTTTCAGTTTATTATTTTTTGGCGGGCTGTTCTCCTTCTGGAGGAAGTTTGGCTTCAGAAATAGTTTCTTATTTTAAAAATCTTCAAGTGTAATAAATGTCATCGTCTTAAAGCATTTTCTTCAATGTTAGGCCGTGTCTACATCTGTCAAATCCAGATTTGGAGAGGGGCTATAGTATGCTTTTTCCTACCATCCCAAGTTGAAAGAGAGATAAACATTTGGAAATCAGGTGACTTGTTTTGATGATTTTATGTAGTCTAATGGAGACCTAGGCAGATTTTTAACTAATATGATTAGACAATTATTAACATTCTCTTTCCCATGGCTGTGGGTCTAAAGTAAATTATTTTAAGAAAATTTCTGAAAATGTCTCTTTTAAAAAGGTGTTTGTACTTATCAAATAGGGATCTTACCCTCCACTTCACCTCCCCTACAGGCCAAGGATGTATGCGTCGCTGTATAAACAGCCACGGAGTAGGGCCAAAAACATTGGGTTCCAACATCCACCAGGCCACCATAGGAGCAGGAAAGGGCTTACAAATCAAAAGACATGAGTTTAAATATCAGCTCTGCTAAGAATTCACTATAGGAATGTTGGCAAGTTATTTAAGCAATCTGAGCATCAGCTTTATCATCCAGAAAATGGGGACCATAATAATGGACTTCATGTGATAGTGAGATAATGTCAGTGAATTTCTTAGCACATTTTTTCTAGGAACTCAGAATATTGTAGCTGATGATATTTGGTGATGATATTGTACTTTTCCTATCCATGGTTTCATCTATCTGGGGACATTTTTCCATTCAGTCTCACGCATCTGGGCCTGGGGTAGGAACAAGTCATCTCATGGCATGAGATGCTAGTCAGGGTTTCCATTGCACATCCTAGGGACCTCCAAGGGCCTCTGAAGAGTGAGAAGGAGCCATTTTTTATTTTACTTGCTTTATAGAGAAGTATTGAGGAGGGGCAGGACACACATCCTCACCCACACCTCAACACACACACACACACACACACACACACACACACACAATCACCAAGCTTTTGGTGTTTTGTAATTCAGGAGGGCAGAGGAGACTAGTCCTAGCTCCACCTGCAAATTACTGTGTGCCTGTACAGTCCTTCGATCAGGACTCCTAGCCTCCTGTTTCCAGGTTCCCTCATTGATCCAGTAGAGCTAATGAATGCCTTCTCTCCCTCACCGATTTGTGTGAGCTGTAAGCAACATACTAGATGTGAAAGCCCTTTGAAAACTATAAACCACCTCTCAAATACAAGAAATTATTTATAATGAAGCCTTGGCAAAAATTTTCTGTATGTCTGTTTGTTTTCCTTACCAGTATGCGCCTTACCGTTTGCTTAGAAATTGGGTCATTTTAAAGGCATTATTTAGTTTGATGTAATTTTCTGTAACAAGAATGCATTTTAAAGGAAAACAAATTGTAGCAAAGCAATTGTAACATAAACTGAGAAAGAATGACAGTTAAATTACACTTACGTTGAAAAGTCAGTGTTAGTTTATCTCATAAAACATTTCCCAGGGCTTCCCTGGTGGCGCAGTGCTTGAGAGTCCGCCTGCCGATGCAGGAGACGC